TGATGAGAGTGCTGGTTGCAGTCTGGTCAAGGTTCTGGTCCTCCTCTGGATCCAACAAGTGGGGCCCAGAAGTTCCAAGACCCCAAGATTATATATACTCAGGCTCCAGTGGGAATGCCCAGTACCTCCCCCAGGGTAGGGAGTTCCACAATGGGTGATTGTGAGTCATGAGATATTTTTGGAATCCTTAATGGGTCATTAGCAGACATGACCCCTCAGGCTGGGTGTGAAGGTACTAATGACTCCCCAAAGGGGAGTTATCACACCTGAGTCATTGGCGTGAGGATAGAAATATTCTCCTATCTCACAGGCTTCTTAACACCCCTCTTATAGCCTGAGGAGTCAGGTGTGCTCTAAGCAGCTGGTGCAAATGGTCTATTGTTAACAGTTCCTGGGAAATGACATAGAGTGTAGAATACATAGTTTGGGTTACACCCACACAGTGATGAACTGGTCCTGGCTGCTCTAACTAGGACATGGTGAAAAAAAATATCATTAGTTACATTATCAAGAAACAGGAGCAATAACAATAGATTTTTCAGTAGTCAATTGCACTTGAATTCTATATTGTGGTCAATGTTGAATCATTGAAAGCACCTTGTCTTGCCTTGTGTAACCCACAGTTTGTGGATATTATGATCCTTCTTTATGCAGTTGATCCATGGTCATTTGTAGCTCTGTTAGTGCTCTTAGCTAAAAAAGTAAGTCCTTTCAATTAACAGATGGGGATCATGTTTTACAGTGCAGAAGACTCATTAAGTTCCTATTTAATTATTTGCTCTGCCTCTTAATTTATCTGTGTACATATCTAGAGAAAGTCCACTACATTTACTGCTTCAGAAATTACAAGTTTTGCTGGTGCTAAACATACACTTAATAAGCAACATTTTAAATGTGAGCTACTCAAATTAGGAGGAAAAAAATTTATTCAAGAAATGGGATCACTTTGTTAAATCAGAAATAGCTCTCCATAATATCCATTTACCAAGTCCATCACTGTCATTTACATAAACTTCTGTCAGTAGTATCTGTGAGGGGCAGCAATGGAGCTAGATGCAGGTGAGATGTGAATGGAAGCCCTGTGTGACTGTTCTTCTCAAACTTGACCGAGATTATACATCTTGTAATTAGGCAGTGCAAATTGGAAATAGGGGCCACATTTCTTTAATACTTCTATGTAATCATCCTCCAGAAATTTCATAATGAATACAGATGTCTCTAGGCTGCCTGGACATTCTGAATAATGCAGCTTGAGAGCTTGATGAAAGAAAATTTTGTCAGTGGGATTAATTGTTAGAATGACTTAGCAATGAAGGGACGTAGTCGTCTTTGCTTTAGGTTATTTGCACTAAAAATTCTCGCTACTTCCTGTACAGTTTCCATACAAAGCTCCATTTCTCAAAGCTCCATGCCTCAGCTCATGGCTCTCAAGACACATATGGCTCTGAACCTTGCTATGAAACTCGAGGCAGATTTCATGTGGCTTTTCTGGGCCCCAGAAGCATGCAAAACTATACAAATTCAAAAGCAGAAATGGTCTTGGGTTAAAAAGAATCTTGTTTGTTGTAAAGACCCGGGCTTACAAATTGATCCTGTGCATCACCTAGCATCAGAAGTGTAAGAAAGCAAAAAAATCGATCTAATTAAAAAAAATGGAAATTACGGAAGTACCGGTAGCACTTCAGCCTACAGTTACTAGGGTAAAGGCTAATGGAAGAAAGGCAGAAGGAAACTCTTTTCTAACAGTAACTGACATAATTGGTATGTTTAACAGTTTGGGTTAATTCAGGCAGAGTAAGCAAATAAATAAACAAACCACATTTTAGAAATTAGAAGAGCTCTACATTACATGTGGAAATGAAACAATGAAAGTCAGGTTGCACAGGAAAGGGGAGCTGTGGAACAGCTTAGGTGAAATCTGAAGCTGAGAGACTTCCATTTTGAGGAGACATCCACAGTTCCTAGCACAAGTTTCTCAAACAGTGTGTCAGAAAGAGAGAGAGAGAGAGAGAGAGAGAGAGAGAGGGAGAGAGACTCCTTGGAACCCTAGAGATAGCCAATAACAAAAATATTCAAATATACAAGAAAATGAAGCTCCAAGCAAGTTTGTGGAGGGTGAACACAGCTCTAATGCTCTATACATGTCTAAGAAACCTGAGTATCACAAAGCACACTCCTGAAGAACTAAGCACATAAAACACCAAGACAAACATTCTGTAGAATGCATGTAAGGATTTTCTGTTTCATTTTCTGAAGACAACAACTAGGGAAATGTCTTGAACAAATCTGTTTAAAGTAGAAAGGGCTGTAATGCATCAAGATTATGCTTAACATTAAATCCTATTGTCAGAAAATCAGAACAAGTGTGGTTTGGGGAGACCCTGCATATTGGTAAATACATTGCCTCCACGATAGGCAAAATAAAAAATTTGTGAAACCACCATGGACAGACTGTGGAATTCATGTACTCTATAAAGCCAACAATTTTTAAATTTTTCAAAAATCAAATTTGTGTATATATTTATTTTGGTTTAGGAAGATGCTATACTGATTATTTTTTTTCCTTATTTGTATATATTTTCCATGCAGAAGAAAAGTCTATTGTGGTACCCAGAGAAGTGAAAAGTAAGTTGTTTTTTATTATATTTCCCTTGTCTTCATGTTAATTTATGCAAAGGATAGGAGTATATTGTCTCTTGGATCTGAAAAGACTTCCATACCTTAAATATTTTTTAATTAAAGAAAAGACTCTTGCTTCAAGGCTTATGGTTCTCTCTTTTGTAAGATAGTAAAACTTGGTTTCTTATCCACATACGTAACAGTAAAACATCACAAAATTTTAGTTTCTCTATGTATAACTACATCAGTACCCAAAGCCATGAAGCACAACCTGATGGTAACAAATGTGGCTTTTCATGGATGAGCAATTAAAAGAGCACTTAGATTAGCTACTCTTGTATTCTTCCCCATCAAAAAAGGAATTCGTTTCCCAAAGGAAAAGTAAGAATTACAGCTTCCTCATATCCTCTACTGAACTCTCAATTTTCTAATTAAAAACATTAATGAAATTAGTAATTAAATCGTTGTAGCTTGTTGTAAAAAAAAGAAAAATATTCCCCTTATTGCTACTGTTGTTCAATTAATTGACAAAATAGAGGCAGATGCTTTTAAAAGAATAAGTCATGTTCTTTTGTAATGATACTTTAACAACAACTCTCTGTGAATAGCTGAAGTCCTGTAATGATAGTTTCAAAGATTCAATTCATAAAAGGTGTTATAAAGATGTATTGTATATGCAGGCTTTTCATGGTATTCTACACTTTTTCCCAAGTACCACTTTCAAGTTTTGCTGCCACTCGGTTAGACTTTACAAAAGAAGCAGAACAGGTGCATGGCTATTGAGTCACCACAATAATCTCTTAGTTTCACCATGTTAATGGGCATAACTTCCTGAATTAGTAGTTAGTTAAGTAATAATCTGGTGTACATACTTGTTCCAGTTCTATCCTTAGCACCACATTCACTCTCAGAGTATTAAACTGTCTTTCTGAGCTGCTGGTAGTAAGTGACCAGCTTATCAAATCTAGAACGTATTGCAATTAGTGAAGGAATCCCATCCCAAATGTATACATGCATAAAAACATACATGTCTGTGTGTGTGTATCTATGTAAAAATAGTCAGCTGAACTTCTATTTCCTTTTTTAGAGAGAAAAGAGGAAAAGAAGAAGACTGATGAAAAAAGGAATAAGACTGAAATAAAGATGAAAGGTATGAGTTGGAAATGTTTCTCACTGGCCTTATTCAGCTTTTACTCACACTCCTGGCTCATTTATCTTTGTTTTCTGATGTGTTAATCCTATGCTTCTGGCTCTGTACTGTCCTCCTCTTAGTTGCTTAGTCACTGTTTGCATGTTACCACTTCTTCAGTATCTAATGTTTGATGTGTTCAGCATCCAATATTTTCCAAACTTATTTTCTGACAAACAAAATGTCTTGTTTTGCGGCCATTTATGGGCTTTTTAAACAATTTAATAGAGTCTGTATATAGTAGGACATAGTGATAATGCAATACAGAAAACTCACGGAAGATATCATTCGATTCCTGGTACACCACTTTCCAAAAGTGGGTTAGATTTATTTATTTATTTTATAGAATCAGAATCGAAACTTGTAGTGACCAAACTGCAAAGCCATGATATCCATCTAAATAATATTTTGATCATTCATTCCCAGGAAGCATCTGAAATCCACTGAGGTCTTGTTGCATGTAAAAATATTTAAGTCATTAATTATTTTTTAATGATCTCATGGCTACTGGAGCTTAAGCTAAAAGGCGCCACAGTCATGCGCTGATGATTTTCATCTAGCCTTTGATGAATTTTTAAGGGTCCAAATCATCCATAGTTGATGCATACTGATTAATTTTCATTTTCAGCTGATTGATCTGTGGCTAGTTGGCTGCAAATGCTATAAGGGAATAATCTGAACTAAACTCCCAAATAAGTCACACTTTTTTCAGCATGTACCCACCAGGACTTGTCTGACTACATATTTGAGTGTATGATTCAGAGTTCTAGCATAGCAAATTACTTTCTTTAATTAAATCTTAGAAAAAACAGGAAAAAAAGAGAAAACTCATGAGAAGACAGCTGTCCCTGAAATTAAAAAAGCAGGTAAGAAATTGAACTTGGACTTTTTCTGCAGTTAATATCTGACTATTTAGCGTAAGAACTTTCAAGTTTTCTGCTTTTGAGATAAGGGTGTATGTAATTCATTATCATTTAAGAATCCAAGTGGGAGATATGGATACATTGATACAGATGTATCACAGTATATTTATATAGATATATATGTTTATATTTATTTTATTATATTGTGGCTTTACATATGACATATATACATATTTTATGCATATTATATATATAAATATATAAAACATGTAATTTTCAGTTCTATGATTTTTACAGAAACATTAGAAACACTGCTTTTCCTTATACATTAAATCAATCAAAGGCCTAAGTAGTTTCAAAGGGTGCATGGCATGAACAGATTCAATGGCCAGCATAGCTTTTTACATGAATTATTTTACAAATATAGCTCATTTTAAGCTCAAGTAATAAATAGAAACATTAACATATCAAACCACTAAATGTGGTAGAAAATATATGGTTATCTTTCTGAGGCTTTATTCATGCCCAGAAAAGAATTTTTTAAAAGTTAGTGTTAGTGAATGTCCTAAACATAATTGACTGTCATGCTTAAAAAGATAGATTTTTCCATAAGATTAGAAATCAACATTTGGGTCTAGTCTACATTAAAAAATTTGTAATTTTTTTCCCATTATTTCAGTAAATTTCCAAGTATGTTCAATGCACAAATGCAACAGTAAGTTACACAATCTGTGAAACTGTCTCATTAAAATCAAAGAGAAACAAAATGCTCAGTTTAGTGGTTTGGTCATCATCTGAATACCTAGAAACACCGATTCTACTTGCTGGTTTGTCACTCACTTTTCTATATAACCCTCTACAAACCATCAAGTACTCAGATTAACCTTCCTGTAGATTAGAGTAATGCCTAAAAACATGGAGAAAAGTTTAAAATAGGACTGAAAGATTCGACTGTATTTACTACATCCTCAGGGTAAACCTTCTGATCTGTTTTCTAATTATTCAAATCTGTTGAATGTTATCAAAAGCCAAAAGGATCTATATCTCATTGTTTACTAACATTGTGGATTACATATGCAAATGTCAATAAGCAGCTGGTTTCTTTGTCATTGAGTCATACATGGTCTGCATAAGCTTTCTTATTCAAGTGTTTATGGATGGGAAGAAAAATGGTATTTTATGTTTGGTACAATACAAACCTACACAAATTACCTTGGACAACTATCCTGGTAGCCCTATATTTAAACATGTCTTTCATAGTAGGGAGTTGTACACACCGGAGAAGGGATGGGGTAGAAAGGGAATACTCTTTTCCAAGTTAAGTTGCATATTTAAATGTATAAACACAGGTTTTAAAAGAAAATAAGCTGACAATTCACATATCTTTTCTAATTTTGTTCTGATTCTAAGCTTGTATTTCACTTGAGAATACAGAATTGTAAAAGATTACATTTTATGGCAGAGCTACAGCATAAAGTTATTAATATGTTCATCTTCACAAGCAGTTGCTAAATCCAGTGAGTCATCCTACCAACGCTAGAAAGACACAAATTAGACAAACTGAGACATCCACACATTTCTATCCCTTTTATTAGCTCTGTAGGTTGCTGCATTTTGAAGAGTTTACTAGCCTTTGTGCAAGAGGATGGTAATCCATAATATATTCTACGTACACATGTTACTGTTATTCCTCATTCAGCTTGCTCTGAATGCATGTGTACTTTCTAGCTTTGGTTGGCAGCACCTATTGTTATCCCTAAAAGGTTTTAAACCTGAAATAATTGCCATATTTGATCAACAGAATAGTAGTGTACAGCCCAGTTTTGAAATGAGGTACTTCAATGTCTGATAGTATTTACATGCTTTGGACAGAGACAGAAAATGAACCTCCAAGTGCTTGAATCAGCAGTAGCATAGATAAGCATCCAAAAGCAGGAAACAGCTTTCAATTTTCTTACCTTTAAAAGGTTAGGTAGAGACCACTGCATGGAAAATAAAGTCTTCACCCTGGTTCTCAAATTCTGCATTGCCTCTGTATATCTCTGATTCTGTGCCTCATTTTGCTTCCCCTGACACCTACAATCCCTGAAGCCCAGGTGTTTGCGGGGCAAGCTGCCTTCTCACCACCACCCACATCGTTCCCTGTACCAGCAGGCAGCTCCTTCTGCTCCAGGGTCCTTCTGGCACCCAAGTGCCACCTCTGCTCCACATGCTTGCATACTTTCTCCCAGAAGACCCATCTCTGACAGGAGGCCCATTAACCGGCTTTCCCCATATACAGAATGTCAGGCACAAGAGAGAGAGAGGAGGAGGAGGAGATGCTCTGTGAACACTAGGTGACAAAAACATCTCTAAAACAATGGTCTTAGAGAAGCACTTCTCTTTATTCCTTTCCATCTCTCTTCCTTTAACAAGGAAAATTTGTAATTTCAAATACTGATTATATTTGCAGATTAATAGTTTAGATTAGCCCTTTGGTCCAAGAGACAATTTTATCTCTAGTGTTACCAGAATTACTTTTTTTTTATTGCTTTCTACTAACTGCATCCCTATGATGTATTTGTTTATTTGCATGCCAGCTCATTCTTTCTACAATTCTCTTCATCCATTCCTCTTTCTCTCCCCCCTCTCTTTCTGCTCCTTCAGAGGATCAAGAGTCATCTAGTGTGAAATGTTCTCAGTCTTTAGTACAGAGCAAACTGAATGATTCTTAATTAGCTTTTAAAAGTGCATTGTAGATAAAACCACATTAATCCTCCAACCTCCAGCTTGTACAATAGCATTGTGTTAATTGTTCTGAAAAATAGATAATTCCATTGTTACAAACTCAGAGGTCTAACTTGAACAAACATAATCATCAGACACAAGGGTCTGGCACAGTCAGACTTCAAAACATTTTACAAAAATCTTTCCAGTGCTACTCTGGATACAGAAGGAGCTGCATCTCCAAATCCCTGTGAAGGGGCTTGTTACACCTCGGCAGAGACAAGCCTTTGCCAGGCTCTCCCAGAGTTCATCCCAGTGCTTGGGACACATCAGCTTGGAGGGGTCCAGCCTGTAATTTGACTGAGAAGGGGGGCCTTCTCTGTTAAAGCTTTGTTGTCCAATACTACATGAAAATGAATATCCAGAGACTGATGTATTCAGCCACTCAGAGTTTGCTTGCAGAATGTTTCTGATGGTCTCTTTCCCAGAAACTCAACAATCTGGAACTTCTCTGCTCCTTCTGTATCAGCTTTCCTAGAAATGATGTTCGCACCAGCCTTTAAATCTGGTTGCTGCAAACTCCTTTCCCATTTTGTTTTGATTCTCAGAACAAATAACATGGGTAATAAATGAGTTTACAAAGCAATAAAAATGTCAGCCTGGATCATCATACCATTTCCTAACTAACGGTCTACTCAGCTGTCATTGATGATCTTTCCTTCCTGTTATTCCTGCATTTTTTTGATAGTAAATCTTAGCAACACTTTAGAAAGACAGTCAGTGTCTTTCTCTCCACTTTCCCCACAGGGAAATTCAGGTACAGATATATAATCCAGGCCAGTTATTCACATATTTATCTTCTGTTCATACATATCTTCTGAAAGTTAAACCAAAGGTATCTGATTAAAGAACCC